AAGAGTGCTAAAATTTCTTGAAGCCACATTGATTCGTTACCTGCGCCCTTTACTTTCTAAACAAAAATAGATGATTCTGACATTGCGGCCGCACTGGTAAAACAGGCAGTTGTGTTTTGATTGTTGCTGAATTTATACTTCAGTTAAAAAGGATTCAATTATTTGCTTCGTTCATGGAACTCTTACTGTAGATACAGCGAAATATGCCAGGCAATTAATTTTGTTATCTACTGTTTATGTCTGTTGAAATTAACGATAGGTAACATTACTTTAATTTTTTTGAACAAATAAAAATGTTACAGTTGGAACATTACCAACCTGGTTCACAGTAAGGGTGATTGAAGAAGCCTTTCTTACAAGTACATTTATCTGTTGGTCCCAGAAAACGATCACAGTGTTCAGCATTCTCACACTGACATGTCTGACTACATTCCCAGCCATATCTGTTTTGTGGACATGGTTCAGCTGTTGTAAGATAAAAGAGTTATGGTTTACAATTCAAATGTTATTTATTTATTGCATTGGATCTATGCTCTTGTAAGACAGTTTTATATACATTACTTATTTTAACCATTGCACTATGTATAATATGATCATGACAAATTTTGCTGCTTGTCATTGTATGCAACATTACTGTCTAGTATATTTTATCTGAAACCATATTGCTCGATTATTGCAGACAATTATTCTCAGATCGCATTTAACACTGAAATTAAAATATCAACATGTAAAGTGAATATATAATTACACTCAAGTTGATGCAAGAACAGCTAGATATTGTTAAGGTCCTTTGAGAGACCAGCTAGATATTGTCAAGGTCCTTTGAGAGACCAGCTAGATATTGTCAAGGTCCTTTGGGAGAGAACAAACAGTGCAGAGGCACACATGGATCATCACAATCTCACCAGAACTGTGCAGCAGGCAGTGACAATGGGATATGGTCTATATATATATAAATATACCCATATTAAAACCCTTTGATGCCCTAAACACTTACAAGATTTTTGTGTTTTTCCCCCTCCCCCAGACCTTACCAGATTTTGGTGGTTAGGCTGCCATCCTCCAACCCTGACCTCTTCACCCAATGGGCACACACATACACAAACTGGATGGGGGAGTAGCGGTCTCCCCATTAAAATAAGAAACATTAGGATGAAGTAGGAAGGGGATTTCAGCCTCAGATAATGTTGAAACTGGGCCAAGATGACGCCTTTAACCATGTATAGCTATTATCTTTAAACATATTTGTTGATACATTTTATATCATCTCAAGTTTATCATTAGATTTATTTTCCATTCATAACATAATTATTATTGTTATTATTATAATTATAAATGTGATGAATCGCACATAAATAAAATAATGTACTTGAAATATGAAGACAATTTCTAGGCATGATCAAAGGGAACCTCAGAGTCCTATTAAAAAAAATTTCTGGGGGATGGGGGGGGGGGGGGGGGGTGTCATAGGACATGAACCTTTAGGTTCAGGTACCTATAACCCTAGGTAAATCAGTGTGCTAGGATAGCCACTCATAGGAATGAATGTAAATGGTCAATTGACATTTACAGATTAGCAAAGGGCTCCTATGCTTGCAGGGCCTCTATGCTCGTGGGATCTCAGCACAAGTGCCCAGAGGGCCCATATGTTAGGACTGAACTGGTGCCTCATAAATATGTAATTCAAAATATAAATAATAATAAGCAATAACATAAAATGTCCTTTATCAAAATTAAACAAACTGACATTAAGAAGGAAAACAATGTCTATTTTTGTATACTTCCACTTTATATTTGAACAGTTTTTCCTACCTTTTGCGCGCGCGCGCGTGCGCGCGCGTGCGTGCGTGCGTGCGTGCGTGCGTGCGTGCGTGTGTGTGTGTGTGTGTGTGTGTGTGTGTGTGTGTGTCTCTTTGATCAGATCCTTAGACTAATCTTACATAACACATCTGCTTCTATACTTAATAAAGATAAGTCCCTCAACCTGACTTGCTGATTTGTTGTTCAGATCGGACTATAGAATTTTAAAGTTTAGTTTAGTTTTTCCTTCCACGTATGCCGCTAAGCGTTGTGGGGAGATGCAAGTTCCTGTCATAAGCAAGGCGGGCAGCATCTGATGTTCTGAGGCCATGCTTTTGGCAGGTTTCGGAGACCCCGTCAATCCACCGTTTCCTTGGTCTTCCTCTTGCCTTATATCCTGAGCTTCTTTGGTTGAAAATTTGTGATGTTATTTGATCATTTTTCATCCTGGTTAGATGTCCAAACCATTTCATTCTTTGATGTTCTATGTAGTCTAAACATGGCGTAGTTTTTGACAGTGTTTCTAATGTCTATATTCTTTATCCTGTCTAGTCTGGTCTTGTTCGCTGCTTTTCTTAGACATTTCATTTCACAGGCTTCTATTTTTCTTTCATGGGTCTTGTTGATTGTCCATGTTTGGCACTGGTAGCAGAGTGTTGGAATGAAGATGGTGTTTATCAATTGTCTTTTGGTCTTCATGGTTATATCTGGATGTTTAAGCAGAGGTGATAGTTGGTATGTGACAGCATTTGCTTTCTGTATTCTTGTTTCTATCTCTCTGTCCATTCTTCCATCCTCTGTAAATATACTGCCCAAGTATTTGAACTCTTTGGTTTGCTTGATTTTGGCACTTCCAACATTTATATTCAGTGGCCTGTGTGTTCTGCTGATCTTCATAACTTCTGTTTTTTCTGTACTGATTCTCATATTATGTTGTAAACAGCTGTTGTTGAGAGTAGTCAGATGTTCCTGTAGATCATATTCATTTTGATACAGTATGCTTTGATCATCAGCAAAAAGTAATTCGTTTATAGCATACACGTCTGGGTTTGCTTCTACAGTGATCTTATCCATGTATGTTATGAAAAGTAATGGTGACAGTACACATCCTTGTCTGACACCAGTTGTGACTTTGAACCATTCAGAAAGACCACTAGATGTTCTTACTGCACTTTCACTTTTTTCATAGAGGGCTCTGATGTTGTCTAATAATTGACCCTGCACTCCGTAATCGTCAAGAATTCTCCACAGCACATCTCTGTCTACACGGTCGAATGCCTTCTCTTGATCTACAAAGACCACGTTCAACTCTTTATCGTATTCGAGTGTCTTTTCACAGGCTTGTCTTAGTGCAAATATGGCATCAGTGCAACCTCGCCCTTTCCTGAAACCGAATTGTGCTTTACTCAGTAGAGGTTCAACCTTTGCTCTTATCCTACCTTCTAAGATCTTTGCATACATTTTCCCCACATGACTTAGTAAAGATATTCCTCTATAAGTTCCACATTCTCTCTTGTTTCCTTTTTTCTTCCAGATAGGTACTACAACTGATCTTTGCCAATCCACTGGTACCTTTCTCTCTGCCCATGCTCTATTGAAAATTCTCTCCAGCCAGGTGATCATAGTGTCCCCTCCAGCCTGGATGACTTCTGTTGTTATTCCGTCAATACCAGCTGCTTTGTGTCTTTTACTTGTTTTGATATGTTTCTCTACTTCATCCCGCAGGATATGTGGTTCTAGATGATCTGGAGCCCTTGAATGGAATTCTGCTGTTTCATGTACTCCCGACGGGTTCAAAAGTTCTTTAAAATATTCCTCCCATCTTTTTTAAATTTCTTTTTGGCTGAATAATGGTTTTCCATTTTTATCGTTTATGACTGATGTTGGATTGAAGCTTTCTTCTCTTAATCGCATCGCTTTCACACTCTTATAAAAGTCTCTTGGTGATTCTGTACAAAGCTGTGTTAGGTGTTCACCATACTTTTTCCATGATTCCTCTTTGGATTTCTTTATTGTTCTCTTGGTGTCTCTTCGAGTTAGTCTGTACCTAATGTAATCCTTTTCGTCTTTTGTGTTTTAACCATATTTGAAACATCTTCTTTTTATTTGACACTGCTTCTTTGACTTCTTCATTCCACCAAGCGGTACCCTTTTTCTTGCCTTTGCCCGTCTTTCTGGTACCACACTTGTCTTTTAATATCTTCGTGATGGTTGATTTATAATAATCCCATTCTTCTTCAATTCTTACTGGTTCCTTGGCAATATCTGCAAAAGCCTTTGTTATTTCTAGTTCAAATTCTTGTTTGATATTCTCTTCCTCTAATTTCTTAGTGTTGATGATTTCTTCACGTTTCTGTTTATGTAGACTGTTTCTACTTGAGTTGTATATGTTCATAACTACTGGGCGATGGTCTGAATCCAGTCCCGCATTTGGGACAGCTTTTGAGTCTCTTACCGTCCTCTTCTGCCGTTGTCTGACTAGTATAAAATCAATTTGTGACGCTTGATCTAAGTTGTTCCACTTGTACCACGTTTTAACCTGACTTTGGCGATGTTGGTAGAATGTGTTGGTAATGTAGAGATCTTGTTCAGCACACAAGTTTAACAGGTGTTCTCCATTTCTATTGCAATCTGTGGTTGTGTCGCTGAATGGGCCAAGGTATCTCTCCCATGGTGATCTTCTTTTACCTACCCTACCATTAAAATCTCCCATTACTATGATGTCCTCTTTCTCTTTAAGAAATTTAAGAATTTTAAAAATATGCTTTAATCAAGAATATAAATGCTAAGCCCCAGAGCTATTGAAAATGTATGTGGTGCCCCTTCATTTGTGATATCCTATGCATGTGCTTAGGGTTCCTAATGATTAAACTGACCATATCTATATACTTTGACACAGTTTCATTTTAAAAATAATAGTGATAAATTAAAATACAATATTTGTCCATAGTACATCTTTGTATAGTACCAAGACAATGTTTAGCAGCCAGACAATGTTTAGCAGCCAGACAATGTTTAGAAGCCAGACAATGTTTAGAATCATTGTTTAGCAACAAGTAAACTTTGAGCAACCTACCAATGTTAGAACCTAGACAATATTTTGCATACAGTAGCTAAACAAATGAAGCAAGTAAAGCCAACACATAATCTGTGTTCTACACCTGTTAGTCGTGACAGATAAATAATAGAAATATACACACATGTCTGGCAGTCTAAGCCTGACCAGCCCCTGGCACACCCAGACTGACATCTTCCATGAACACTGTCACATCGTTCAGCACTGTCCATGCAGTGGCACTCATTTCTACAATTGTGGCCAAATCTTCCTGTTGGACAAACTGAAAGCAATGGCAAACATTTTAAAATGAAAACATTATAAAAATATCTATGTGTTTCTTTACTAATAAAGACTTTTTCAAACTAAACATCATCATCAGCATACTCAAGAGGCTTGCTGATTGGCATGGACAATCATGCCTTTCTATAATCTGTGATCTTAAATAGTTTCTTCAGTTAAATGACATATCCAAGGCGTCAAGAAATTATATGGCTTGTTTATTAATTGTCAAGGATTCACAGAAATGCTTTGCTTGACAGGGCAAGACCTGTCAATCAAATCTGAGCCTTGTCTGTCCGATAGATGCTTTATTTAAATTTTAAACATATCCCACAAAAATTCAGACACTCCACATCAACACTATATTGTCTTAGTGCTTTATTGAGAATGTTGAATGTTGAATTTAGAATCAACATCACAGCCCTCAGGACACTCCCATAAGCGCTCCGTCCCCATCTCCAGCAGCAAGCAAAGAGTTAAGAGTATCAGTAACTGTCTGATTGTATATCCGTCTTGCCTTTCCCCCCGAGTGTCGAGCGTCGGCCAGATTATCTGGTAACTCCTCAGTGCCAATCTACTCAGACCGTAATGGTCTGTCTGTTCCTCGGCACTGTTCACTCTCTCCCAAAGGGCCCTCACAACATCCAGCTTGTCATTTTTCAGCAGTTCACCACCAAGTGGTGCAGAACCAGCCAGTCTATCTGCCTACTCATTTCCCAACACACTGGTGTGACCTGGAGAAAATATCCAAAGGATGCTAACTACCCGGGACTTCTGAAGTGATGCTTGCCACTCTGCACAGACATGCCTGTCTTCACCTTTCTCAGCATGCTCTCTCTCTCTCTCACACACACACAGACACGCACATACACACATATATACATATATACATACATAAATACACACTGTTAACACAGACAGTTCAGTGTCAAGAGGCAAAAGAAGTGCTTGGGGCTTTTTTAGCAAAAGTTAATGGTCAACGTTTGGTGCAGGAGAGCCTAGCATATGATACCACAACATCCAGCTTAAGAATGGAGGTGAAGGCGGTCACTGCAGCTTTCCGCTGGCTAGAGAACATGACACACACACACACACACTGTAATCGTAACTGATTCAGAAAGCCTGCTGAGGAAGATCAGAACAGGTATGCTTTGTGCAGAGTGGCATGCTTCGCTATGGAGGACACGAGTGAGGAGCATTGTCTGGATTTTTTCACCGGGTCTCGCCGGTGTGTTGGGAAATGAACAGGGGACAGATTTGCCGGCTCTGCACAACTTGGTGGAATACTGTTACAAGATAGGGCAGACGTGGTTAGTGCCTTGTGGGAGAGCGTGTACAATGCGGAGGAGCAGATGGATCACCACAGTCTGGTGAGACTGATGCAGTTGGGGGTGACGAGAGGTTCTGGCAGAAGCTCAAGGCTTAGAGGAAAGGCAAGACGGACATTTAATCAGAAAGCTACTGGCATCATTAGTATCGGAACTCTTCGCTGGCTGCTGAAGATGGGAATGGAGCGCTTATGGGAATGCCCCGAATGCTGTGATGTCAGTTTTTGAATCAAATCAAATACACACTGTTACAAACAGGCACATACATATCAGCATTGTATATTAAAAGCCATATCTATTTAAGGCTGGCTATATAATGAGTAAAAAAAAGTAAAGATCCCTTTTCACGCCTTTCGGCGCATCGGGCATATGGGCAGAGCGTCCCATATTTTTACAGACCATCAGCACTCTGTGAATAATGTGGTCAGAGTAGCCAACACAATTTGATCAGCATTCTCACTGTGCACTTATACATTCTTTCAGTTCATCTGTTGAAATTATCCAGCCTCATATAACCTTTCACATATTTCCTTCAGCACATTCTTTAATAAGCAGATTGCCCTTTTACAGATGACTTAAGTGCTGTGATTGTCCGTCCTTGATTTCCTCTAGCATAGTGTTATTCCATCCGTTTTTGAAATGTATTTTATTTTCCTGTGACACATCAGTTCAAAAGCTTCGAAGTATCCTTCACAAATAATCATTCCCTGTTGGCGTTTTTGTAGAAAAACAAATAATTCAACAGTAAATGAATTTAATAAATCTTTATTTTAATCCCTAACTTTGCTGCTTAGATGTGAGAAGCTGTTTTACATAGTTCAATATTGTTTCTATTGCTAATGGAAAACACAATAGATGAGATAAATTAAAATAAAATAAAGGATCCGTTTTCGCTCACTGTGGTGCAAAGGAATATATGGTGCAAGTTTTAAATTTGTATACACCAACTGGTAGTAAATGTGTGATGTTATGCTATGTTATTACAGTAGTAAATGTGTGATGTTATGCCAGATTATTACAGTAGTAAATGTGTCATGTTATGCTATGTTATTACAGTAATAAATGTGAGATGTTGTGCAAAGTTATTACAGTTGTAAATGTGTGACGTTATGCTATGTTATTACAGTAGTAAATGTGTGATGTTATGCCAGATTATTACAGTAGTAAATGTGTCATGTTATACTATGTTATTACAGTAATAAATGTGAGATGTTATACAAAGTTATTACAGTTGTAAATGTGTGATGTTATGCTATGTTATTACAGTAGTAATGTGTGATGTTATGCTATGTTATTTCAGTAGTAAATGTGTGATGTTATGCCAGGTTATTACAGTATTAAATGTGTGATGTTATGCCAGGTTATTACAGTAGTAAATGTGTGATGTTATGCTATGTTATTACAGTAGTAAATGTGTGATGTTATGCCAGGTTATTACAGTATTAAATGTGTGATGTGATGTTATGCCAGGTTATTACAGTAGTAAATGTGTGATGTTATGCTATGTTATTTCAGTAGTAAATGTGTGATGTTATGCTATGTTATTTCAGTAGTAAATGTGTGATGTTATGCTATGTTATTTCAGTAGTAAATGTGTGATGTTATGCTATGTTATTTCAGTAGTAAATGTGTGATGTTATGCTATGTTATTACAGTAGTAAATGTGTGATGTTATGCCAGGTTATTACAGTAGTAAATGTGTGATGTTATGCCAGGTTATTACAGTAGTAAATGTGTGATGTTATGCCAGGTTATTACAGTAGTAAATGTGTCATGTTATGCCAGGTTATTACAGTATACAGTGTAAATGTGTGATGTTATGCTAGGTTATTACAGTAGTAAATGTGTGATGTTATGCTATGTTATTTACAGTAGTAAATGTGTGATGTTATGCTATGTTATTACAGTAGTAAATGTGTGATGTGATGTTATTTTATGCTATGTTATTATTACAGTAGTAAATGTGTGATGTTATGCTATGTTATTTCAGTAGTAAATGTGTGATGTTATGCCAGGTTATTACAGTAGTAAATGTGTGATGTTATGCTATGTTATTACAGTAGTAAATGTGTGATGTTATGCTATGTTATTACAGTAGTAAATGTGTGATGTTATGCTATGTTATTTCAGTAGTAAATGTGTGATGTTATGCTATGTTATTTACAGTAGTAAATGTGTGATGTTATGCTATGTTATTACAGTAGTAAATGTGTGATGTTATGCTATGTTATTACAGTAGTAAATGTGTGATGTTATGCTATGTTATTACAGTAGTAAATGTGTGATGTTATGCTATGTTATTTACAGTAGTAAATGTGTGATGTTATGTTATTACAGTAGTAAATGTGTGATGTTATGTTATTACAGTAGTAAATGTGTATGTTATGCATGTTATTACAGTAAATGTGTGATGTTATGCCAGGTTATTACAGTAGTAAATGTGTGATGTTATGCTATGTTATTACAGTAGTAAATGTGTGATGTTATGCTAT